TTGTTAGAAGCCAGCCTCTAGCTCTTGAACGCACCGAGAGGAAGGGAGCTCTGTAAGGGATGAGTAGCAGCGGGGAAGGATATTGAGGGCCATCGTAGGGACTGCCTACAACACACTTTCCCGTGTAGCATCCAGCTCCTCCGACCGCCCGCCGGAGCAGAAGGCACAGGCCAAATGCCTGCAGGTCAAGCGGATGACGACAAGGGAAGAAACGGGCAGTGGGAGGTTTGGCGGACGGCCGAACCTCTGCCCATCCTCCCGCATGCAGGCTGCTGCCAGGCAGGGATGTAGGCTGACTTGTTAGATCTTCTACATTTTCCAAAGAAGTGACAGTCCTGATTTTCATGAGACATTTCCTGATTTTTAAAACTGTGATAATCTAGCAAAAGCACATCTGAGGATTAGTTTTTGACTCTTCTCTATGGTACAAAGGGCCTAAGATATTCTAATACCTTTGCATGTCTGTTCCATCTCTCCTGTACCCACCCCTCCCACCGCCTGCACTCATTCACTGAGGGCAGGGGCCTAGCTAGTTCATTTTGAGCACTTTCTATATTTCTTTGCATGTAACAGGACAACAGTAAACACTGTCAAATGAAATATGGAATTGCTGTCCCACTGAGGAGCTCTCCCCCGCCCCCAACCCTAGGCGACTGGTTAAAACTTGGCCGTGATGTCTGAATAGCTTGGAATCCTGGCTCTGCTTCTTGCTTGCTGTGTGACTTTCAGCAAGTTACTAACCGTTCAGAGGTTCAGCTTCTTCATCTATAAAATGAGAATAATCGTACCTGCTTCACAGCTGTTATAAGGATTAACTGTAATAAATATACGTATTAGCACATTGTAGCAACTCAGTATCTGCTCTGACATCATCCCCCTTCTTTCCTCGCCGCCTTAATCCGATTAAACCATCATCTACCACTCTCTACCAGGCTAGCAGCTAGAGGGAGCCTCTAAAATGAGAGATCTGGCAGTCACTGCCAGGGTTTACGTCCTTCAACAGTTTGCTGATCCCCTTAGTAGGAGAAAATCCGAACTCTTTAACAGCTTGCCAGGCTCTGTTGGACCTGCGCCTGCCCAGCCTTCAAGCCTCATCTCTCTCTGCCACTCCCTGCACATTCAACTCGCCAGGCACACCCAAGCTTCGTTTTCTGAATCTTCAACACTTTCTGTCCCTTCAAAACAAGTGCTCCTCTCTCCACAACTACCGCCCCTTCTAACTGTTCCAGCTATGTGCTCAGAGAATTTTTGATGTTCCTTGCTAAACCTGAAAGCAAGCCCAATATTAATTCTCTTCTCTCTTCCTCTTCCTAGCACAAAGCCCGCATAAAAGAGGCAACTACGTAATTGTAGAATTGGCCGCAGCAGTGCTGATCCCATGAGCAGACAGCGCCACCTGTTGACCCAAACTTGAACTTCAATACCTAGGAAAGCCTCAGCGCTCTGCCCATCACTAATGCCGGTGGACAATGGTTTTGGAGCCTTCCAGGGGCCTCTCCAGGGTCTTCTCACACAAAACTTAACAATTAAAAAAAAAAACCCTAACATTACTGAGTGCTTAATGTGAGAGAGCCAGGCACTTTCCTAAATGCTTCAATTATTAACACATTTAATTTTTACCACCAATGAGTTAGGAACTTTGACTGCTATTTTGTGGATGGGATAACTGAGGCACAGGACAGCTAAATGCCTCACCCAACTCCCACTGCTAGAAAATGTCACCTGCTTGAACCTGCACCTTGATGCCTGAAACTCAGTGCCTCTATTCTGTCTCTTTCATTCCACGCCCAGTGACCTGGTGAGGGCACATCCCAGACACCTCCCTCTATGGTGAAGGCCCACTAGGAAGGGACTGCTTGCTATATGACAGTGGCATTGGTGTCAACTGAAACTCCCCGACGTGGAGTGAGTGTCCCCCACATTCTGGAAGCCACACAACTCTCCAAGGGCATTCCTCAGGACAGGAATTAGCTGTGGTGGCATCCTCTCCTCGGTGAGGCAGCAAATGCAGCTGTCAGTCCACGGTACTGCTCTGCTCACGACCCCAGTGAGCAGCCACTGCTGTGGGCCTCCAGCTCCTAAGAGGACCCCTAGCTCAGCTGGGTGGATGGGTGGATCAGACTGGGTGGGTAGTGTACAGAGGGTGAGGAGCACAGTCCCTGATGCAGGTGGACGCTGAATGGCAGTGGTGATCACTCATCCCCTCTGCTGATCATGCACAAAGTTGGGTCCCTTCACATGTCCAATACTGCCATGTAGAACCGAAAGGCTGGCTGCTTCCTTCTTAAATCCAATCTACCTTTCACTGGCTCTTCTAAATACTTTTAAGATTTTATTTATTTTAGAGAGAGGGGAAGGGAGGGAGACAGGGAGAAACATCCATTGGTTACCCCTCACACACCCCCATCTGAGGACCTGGCCCACAACCCAGGCACGTGCCCTGATTGGGAATAGAACCAGCGACCCTTTTGGACCACAGGCCAGTGCTCAATCCACTGAGGCATACCAGCCGGGGGTCTGAACACTTTTTTATATCATTTGTGAAAATGCCTGCCTCTACTTAATTTTGTTATTTAAATACGTATTTATCAGTAAGTACTTATTTTTATTAATCATTAATTTATAATTATATACTTAATATAAACGTATTTTACAAATTATATCATTTGTAATATAAATATTAAATATATTTATACATAATATGTAACAGCATATACAGGGTCCGGCCTGCTTGAGTGCAGTTGGTAGGGTAATTATATGGGTGTGGTAATTTATAGTTTTAATTTGAACGTTTCACCTAGAACATCATATGGTATGCCTGAGGGTGATATTGTTACAGCTACATGCTTATGATTTTGTATAAAAGACTTTGTAATAAAAAAAGGAGTTATTTGTGCCAGACTCTGTATATTTTTTTTTTAATATTAAACATATTTGTCTTTTTTTTAAAGATTTCATTTATTTTTTAGAAAGAGGGGAAAGAAGGTAGAAAGAAAGGGAAACATCAGTGTGTGGTTGCCTCTCACGCAACCCCTACTGGGGACCTGACCTGCAACCCAGGCATGTGCCCTGACTGGGACTCAAACCAGCAACCCTTTGGTTTGCAGACCCACACTCAATCCAGAGCCACACCAGCCACATCTTTATTCTGGGGAGGAGGAATCCTCCTCTTCTTCCTCGTCTTCATCGCTGAATGAGCAGGGGATTCTCACCTTGGCACTCGGTGAGAGGCTGCAGTCCTGGACGGGTGACTATTTGGGGCAGGGAACTCTAGCTTAGGCCACTTCTGCATCCAAGAAGAACCCCTGGCTTATACTTGATTGTGACAAGGTGGCACCAGTGGTTAGGTCTAAATTTGAAACTGATAGGGTAGAGGTCAAAAGTGGGGTCTGATTTAACCAAGGTCCTGTGGAGATACCTGTGATACAACCTGCTAAAGCCTTTGGCACCAGTGATACAGCAAGTTTCAGATCCTCCGGGGAGTGTTTGCCCAGCTCTAGGCCAAGGATATTCCCATCCGCTTCAGTATTTCTCAGTCATCGTGGATCTCAAAGGTGTAAAAATTGAAGTTACTCAAACTTGTCACTGGAGATGCTGCAGTTTATGACTGTTTTCCCGCTTGTGTTGACAATTATAAATGGCAGCTGAATAACAGAGTTTAGAGCTGGAGGGCCCTGGTTCTGCAGCTCATTTTGCCAATTTCTCTGTAGCAGGTTTTTAAAAGCGATTTGCTGCAGCTCTTGCAGCTGGCCCGCTGCCGCTTTACCCGTTCTGTCCACCTCTGCTTCTTTCTCCGTTTTTACACTCCTGAGCAGAACTGGCAGGCCAATCCACTTGATTTCTTTTTCTTTTGAAATTATGTTCATTGCCATTTGCACATTTAAAACATCACAAACTCTTTGCCTAATGTTTTTCTGGTCATAAGCCAAATCGCCTGCCAAATGATTGTATGAATTGGTGAACTCTGATACCAGCTCATCAGCTACATTATATGATGTTGTACCTTTCTGAAATTCCTTTCACCAAAAAATGTCTCACGTCTTTTCCATTTTTATCTGTTTTTGCTTTACTTTCTGAAAAATCAGAGCCTATAAATTCTCTGGCCCATTTTCTATCACCTGGACCCAGCCAGTAGCTTCTGCTGTGTGTGTCTGAGTAACCACCGCTGGTACAGGGGTGTATGGACTCCCAGTCAGAGCACTTCCTGAACTGGTTAGTCTGTGCTGTGCTCGTAATCATTTGGGGTCCAACCTTCACATTTACTGGTCCTAAGGTTCTTACTGTTGGTGAGATGGAAATGCAACAAATGAAATGTTATCTCAGAGAGACTGAAGGTTCAGGTTCAAATCACCACAAAAGAGTATTGCCTTAAAGTGGGCCACAATCTTTTTGCTGATCAAGGGTCTTGCCTTTGATGTGCAAAAACCCAACATCTTGTTGGGCTGAGACTCTGATCTACATAAATCCTCTTAATTCTGCATTTGTGGAACTCAAACCAGTATTTTGTTTGCCAGCATATCAAACTGTATTTTATTTAAAATCCCATTTTAAAAAAGCCATTAAAAAAGCAAAAATAAGAAAACTCTGTTTTCAATTATTTTTTTAAAAAACCCTTAATGTCTCTATTCTATGCCTCAATTTCTTCATCTCTGCTTGATTGCAGAGGACCAGGTGGCTACACAGGGCTGTTCTTACAAGCCTGGTGCACCCTTGCTGGCGGCAGCGCAGGCCCTGCAGACTCACAGTCGGGGCAGGGGTGGGAGATCCACGGCCTGTCCAGTCAATGACTTGGAGTTCAGGGCCGCAGGACGCCAACTGCACACACACCCTCAAGCCCGTCCAGAGAGGAGGCGTCAGGGCGCGCCCTGCATGTGAAGCAGTGGCAGCAGCTGCAGGCAAAATCACTGGCAGCCTCATCCGGCCCAGCCTCTATTATGTTATTTAAATATATAATACATATAGCCATATGTATGGTGAATATTTATTGAGTACTTCCTATTCCCCAGTCATTATTCTAAATATTTCACACATATTAACTCATTTAATCTTCACAATAGCCCTACGATTAACCCCATTTTACAATGAACAAGCTAAAGCAGTTAAATGGCACGCTCAGTTCAGGGTCATATATCAAGTGGTTGAACTGGAGTGCAAACCTAAGTCATTATACCAGTCTATACTTTTAAACACTACATTAGACTCCGTCTGCTGCCTTTACTCCGATGTGCCAGACACATTGTTTTGCACACAGTAGGGTGACAACAAACTTTTTTAATATATATATATTTATATATATACATACACATACAGTCACATTCCCGTGTGGCAGATACTCATTCTTCGACTGGGAGAACGCCCCCAGGCCCCAGGCTCCCGGAGACCCTCCAGAGACCGCCTAGGCCTGGCGGTCTTCACAGATGACACCCAGTGGGGGCACTTCAATTAAACAAGTGGGAGGGGGCAGGGTGCACCTCGAGGTGGGTCCTGTCTGGGGCCTCACGCAGGCCCAGAGCTCTGCTGCATCCTCTTCATCAGCTCCTCATCCTGCATAGACAACTCTGTCAACTTTTTGCCCATCCGCTCATGGATGTCCAGGTACTTGGAGACACACCGGTCCAGGCACACAGACTCGCCCTTGGACAGTTCTGCTTCCTTGTAGTGAGGAGGCACGCATTTCCGGTGGCAGGCACTTGTCATTCTGGGGGGAAGGAAGGGTAAGATCAGGTCAGCAGCACCTGGTGGCACACCAGGAACTCTCAACCATTCCTGACCTGCTATACTGATTTCACCTCCAGGCAGGCAGTGTAAATCCTCAGTTTGCACTTCAACTATCTTGGAAGGTCCTTGACAATAGGAACCTTGTCTGAGCCCACGTTTGTAATTAATTAAATAGAAATCATTAGTTCAGTACTGGCTATGTTCAGGCATCACACCAAGTAATTGACATGATTCCTATGATAACCCTATGAGTTAGGCATGATCGTCATCCCCATTTTACAGATAAGGAAAATGAGGCACAGGGAGCCTCAGGGCCACAGAGTGGAGTTATAAACCCAAGTAGTCTGACTTCACAGCCTACATTTAAAAATTATTCTAATATATAGCTTCCAACATAAACCAACCAATCAGGAGAGGATACCACAGAGCTTAAGACAATAAAAATAGTAGACATTTGTTGACTGCTTACTATGTATTGGGCTTGATGTTAAGAGCTTGCCATATATTTTAACATTTAGTACTTATAATGTCTCTAGAGGTGGGCAGTATTACCTCCATTTGATAGATGGGGAAACCACTGGTCAAACAGTCCAAGTAACTTACCCAATGCCATACTAATGGTGATTGCTGGAGCTATGAATTGTACTCAGATTTGCCAAAGTACTGGACCTGACATTGCTACTGACCAGTTGTGGACACTGAGAACATTATTTAACCTCTGGAAGCCTCACTGTCCTCACAATAAAATTAACCCGGTGGATTATTTTGGACATTAAAAAAGATAATGCATGTTAAATGCTTAGCAAGCACCTGAGGCAAAGTTAAGTATCTAAGAAATGTTAAATAAGTGGGATAGGTACTATTTGTCAAAAGACAAATGCTCAACTGTTCTTGGAACCCAACCAAACCCTGGATTGAAGCTTCTCTCCTGTTCCGCTCCTTCATCACCAATTCCATCCCAACCTAAACGCTCAACTCCTTCTAGTGACCCCATACTCAGTCTGCATTAGCCTTTAACCATGAGGGTTGTGATATTGGTGGGTGTGTGTGCAGGAGGAAGGTAAGCACCAGGCTCAGACTCCGCTAAGTTGGGCAAAGCATTTTTCATAAGTCATGCACCTTTACCCTAAGAAGGAGTGATCTAGGATCATTCCCTACGGCAAGGGAGCGTAGAATTGGCTCTTACCTGTTGTACATATCAGCCATCATTTCTACCTCCAGCTCCGCTGCCAGCTGCTGGGCCCTGAGCGGATCCATCTCAGCCCTGCACCGTGGAGATCTTTCGATCTCCTAGTCCTGGAAGCAGATATCACCGTCACTTCTCCCACGTTCACTTATCACCCACCTCTCCCGTTCACTTTCCCAACCCAAGGGTTCAAGACTGCAGAGGCATCACTGGGCATCAGACCGACAGAGGCCACTGACCTGAGTTCAACCACCTCATTTCACAGATGTGGAAACTCTGGTCCAGAAGGGGACCACTGCCCAAGGTCACACAGCACGTCAAGAGTGGGACTGGAAACCGAGCCCCGGGGCGCTGACGCCTAGTGTCTCTTTGTTTTTAGGACAAAGGTCACCTTTGTCCAAAATTTCGAGAGACCGGAAGGGAACCCTCTAAACCGCGGGACTGCACCTCCGGGTCCCTGGGATTCGATCACATGAGAAATTAACGGGGCCGGACCCCCGCCCAGGTGCTGCACCTCTGAAATGACGTTGCCAACAGCAGAGTCACAATGAAGTCGGAGGTAACTCACCACGGCCCGGAGCCGGTGACAATGCCCCCGGTGCCCCCAACTTCGGGCAAGCGCTAGAAACTTACCCTGAACACAGGTAGGTATAGGAGGAAGCACGTGGGTCACTTCCGGGAGGAAGTCCCGCCTCCTCCCACGAGGCGGCGCTGGGAAATCGGCTACCATAGAGAGGGAGCTGCGGGCCCTAGCTGAAGGAGAAAGTGATTTGCAAATGCTAGAGAGGACGTCCAAATATCATAGAGACTTGGGCGGAGTGCAGAGTGCCTGCAGCCTGGACGTCGACTCTCTGGAGTGGTCATGGGGAGGTTTGACTTGAGTGGCTCTTTAGGAGGCTGGACTACTGAGCTCAGGGAACCTCGCCTCCGCCCCCCGAGAGCTGATGTCTCAGCACAAATCAGGCGTGCAGGAGGAAGGACTTCCCTAAACACCAGTTCTCAATGCGTGCTGCATGTTAAGGTCACCTGGGACGCTTTTAAAAATCGCGATGCCCAGGTCTCCCCTCGTACCAATTAAACCACAATATCTGTGAGTAGAACGCAGATATCAGTAAACTTTTAAATTCCCCAGGTGAATTAGATGTACATTAATGTGCATTAGATGATATTAAGAAATTACTGTAATGTTGAGGGTGTGAAAATGGCACCGTGGGAAAAAGACTGCTAGAGATGAAAAGAGATGGAGAGAATCTGGCTAAGTTAGTAAAAGTTAAATCCTCATGATAGGCATATGGAATTTCAATATACTGTGCTCTCCACTTTTCTGTATGTTTTAAATATGCCATAATAAAAGTTTAAAAATTAAAAACATAAGAACGGTGATTTTTTATAACGATTTTATTTATTCTTAGAGGAGAAGGGAGGGAGAAAGAGAGGGAGAAAAACATCAGTCAGTGTGTGGCCTCTCGCACAGGGCCCCACCCGCGAGGGGGAGGGTGGCGGGGGCGGGGGCGGGGGCAGGGACTGGCCTGCAACCCAGGCACGTGCCCTGACAGGGGCAGAACAAGCGACCTTTCCCTTTGCCCCACGATGCCCAACCAACTGAGCCAAACTAGTCAGGACAAAAACAATGATTTTACTGAGCATCTGCCATGGACCAGGTGCTTTAAGTACATTATTTATTTTGTTTGTTTTTCTTTGTAATGATCTTTAAAACGTTTCATTTTGACATAATTATAGGTTTACAAGAAGTGTCATAAATAGTTCATAAATTCCTTTGTGCAACCAAGTTTGGGAACCAGAGCCCCAAACTGTGTGCCTATAGGTCTCCAGGCTTTCCCTGGGGCTACAAAGGGAAAGGGAAGCATGATTCCTGCTCACAGAAAGACGAGACATGTGTACTTACGTTTTATTCAACTTCTGTTAGATGTACTGGGCCATGAAGAGATGAATAAAAGCAATTTTGAGCTAATCTAGTGCGTTTAGTCACAGGAGAAGGAGGGTAAACTCTTTATTTTCCAAGACTTAATCCCCCCGCCAAAAAACAACAAAAAAAACCCACTTCAATTCCTTGATTTTTCAATGGATTTCCCCATAAATGAAATTTAGAAGATATGAATTAATGATGCATGGGTACACCCCTTGTTGGAGAAGGGGGCTGGACACTATATGGCTGGTCACCAGGTGCCTCCCTAATTGTCCAAGGAAGTCCAGATTTTCAACTCTGGGCCTCACTACTGCTCTAAGGACTCATCTTTGCTAAACCTTGTGCCCTGATATTTTAAAATTGAAGTATAACATTCATACAGTAAAGTGTGTAAAATATACAAATCTTAAGCTTATTTTTAAAATATATATTCATTCCTGTAACCACCATTCAGATCAAGATACAAAATACATCTAGCACCCTAAAAAGTTTTTTCATGTTCCTTCCCAGTCAATAACATGTCTCCTGCAGTTAAATCACTATTCTGAATTCTATCTCCGTTTTGCCTACCATTGAACTTCATGAGTTATACATTATTTTATACATTATTTTCTGTTTTGTGAGCTGACTTCTTTAGCTCACTGTAGCGTCTGTAGATTACATCATATTGTGTGTATGTTATTCATTCTTTTTATTACTGTCTAGCATTTGATTGTATGAATAAGCCACAATTTATTTATTCATTCTTCTGTTGATGGACTTTGAGGTTGTTTCCAATTTTTGGCTATTATCAGTAATGCTGCTATGAATATTATTGTCCATATGTTGCCCTAGTTTTTGCTTTTGAAGATATAGTCAACATACTATGAAATATTAAGAAATTGTATGGAAAAAGATGATGAGTTCTTAGAAGATTGGGTTTTTGTCAGGTGTAATGAAAGGTCAAATATTGTATGAGTCCACTTAAATAACAGTCTCAAAACGACAAAATTATAGAAATGGAGAAGACACTAATGGTTGCCCAGGGTTCAAGCTGATGCACGGGGTGGGGGAAGGGAGGTGTGCCTATAAAGGCTCATCACAAAGGAGATCTTTGTGGTGATGGAATGTTCCTGTGTCCTGATGGTGGAGGTGGTTACGCAGATCTATACGTGTCACAGAACTATGCACACCATTGTGCCAACGTCAGTTTCCTGGCTTTGATACTGCATATAGTTACATAAGAGTTAACCTTTAGAGGAAGTTAGGAAGAGGGTACACAAGGACCTCTCTGTACTATTCATGCAACTTCCTGCAAACCATATTATTTCAAAATAAAGTTCTTCAAAATCATTTCAAAAAAGATAATATAATTAGAGCGTCTAGTCCATGGCAGATGCTCATTCAAAAGAAATCATTGTATTTTTTTTATTTTTAGACTGTTATTATGGCAACTTTAAAACATACAGAAAGGTGGAGAATGGAAAATATTGAACTTCCATATACCCATCACCAGGATTTAACAATTGTTAACATTTAACCATATTTTCCTCATCTATTTTTTATCTCTGACAGAAAATCTTTTCTCCATAGTGCCATTTTCATGGCCTCAAAATTATAGTAATTTCTTAATGTCAACTAATGCATATATTCTATTTCTCCTAATTTCTCAAAAATGCCTTTTTATAGTGGCAAAAAACACTTAATGTGAGATCTACCCTCTTAACAAATTTTTAAGTGCACAATTCAGTATTGTTAGCTATATACACAATGTTGTACAGATCTGATCTAGACTTATTCATCTTGAATAACTGAAACTTTATACCTGTTGACCAGCAATTCCACATTTTCCCCTCCCCCCAGTACTGGGGAAATCATTTTTTTTTTAATTTTTATGAATTTATTTGAGCCAAATTGACAGCAATTGCCAGGCAGCAAAACCTCAATGGATTGAGAAAATGTTCCAGAAAATTCCAGTTCTGCATCTTATTTTATACATTCCAATCAAAAGAGGAGGCATAAGGGGGTTACATGAAATCCATTAGTGATAGATTAAGGAGTCAGTGAAAAAGCAAAATGGGGAAAACCTTTAAGATTGGGTAAAAAGTAGAATGATAAACACATACTTCTTTTACATAGGTAGGTACAAGATAGCGAACAGTTAGCAATTAACACTGTAACAATAACAATGAGGGTAATTGTGGTCTCCGCTCTGGTGTGGGTTGGTGTGCCACAGGGGTTTGGAAAAAGGGAAGTTGTTGATGGGAGAGACCTCGTTCTTTTTGCATGTAAAGAATGACATGTCAGCAAATCGTCCTTCAGAAGAAAACAGAGTTTGGCTAGACCTCTCACGGTTTCCAGCACCATCCTCTGTGTTACCGTGATTTCCAGTTCTTAACCCAAACCCACATGGCACCTTCTCATGGCCCACTAGCAAGAATCCTTTCTCCACTTTCCCGCGTGGTCTTCACATTGTTCCCCCGTGGCAAGGAGCGAACCGTCTCCAAGCTCTCACGCATGTGCGCTGTAACCAGGGGAGCTGCCTTGCATGGCTGCTACATCTTGTCTTCCTGCTTCCTAAAATGGTGTAGTCAAGAGCTTCAGGTCCAAACCCCGGCGTGAATCCTCCCCCCCACAACCCCACCTCTGACCCCTTCAGCAGGCGCTGCTACTGGGGGAGCTGCTTGCCCAGTTACCCATTGTTCTTGTTGATGAAGATGTTATTACTATTATCTACTATGAGACTGCATCTTTCCCTTCCTACACTTTTACAGTTGAGGATTTGAGGACCCAAATGCAGGAATCTCAAGGGGTCCCTGTTAAGTTTTATCTTGTAAAAGACTGTTTACATAGCCCCAGCCTTCCCAGGTCTCTGGAATCCAGATATGTCATCGAAAGCTGCTGAGCTCTGTCAGCACCACGCTGAAGCTCTGGCCCCTCACTCTGTCCTGTGGCCTACCCCAGCCTCCCAAAGGCCAGCTGAGTATTTGTTACTCACCATGATCAGCATTGTCCTCTTGGATGGGACCTCAGCCTCGAGGAAGGGATGCAGGGTTGTCACCCAGGGGCCCTGACCAGTCCTGAGAGGTGTGGAGAGAGTACGAAGACAGTGTAGTTGAACTCCCTTGAGATGAGCAGGAGATAAGAGAATAAGAACGTCAAGGGCTTGAATGGAATGGTCATTCTACAAGCTTGAAGAGAAAGCCAGCACAGTCTCGATCGCTGTCATCGCTATGACAATTCCTCACCACTTCTCACCCCCACAGCTGACAAGCTGGTCCAAGGCGCCAGCCTCCCTATTGCATTATGGAAGCACTGTCCTACAGCGCATCTGTGCTTCCCCTGCCAGCTGTTCTCAAAACAGCAGCCAGGGTGACCTTGTCAAAAACTACAGTTAGATCATGTCACTTCACAACTTTAACACTCCAATGGCTTCTAATTACAGAGTAAAAGACAAAGTCCTTACAAGGGCTCATAAGACACCATGTGATTCGGCCTCTGCACCAGCCATGCCGGCCTCCTTTCTGTTAATCAGACACACCAAGGACACTCGCAGCTTTCCACTTGCTCTTCCCTGGGCCTGGATTGCTGTCTCCCCCGATAGCTGTTGCCTCCCCCTCTTACTTCCTTCAGGTCTTTACTCCAATATCACGTTCCGCCTTCCTTTACCACTCTGAGTATATCACCCACCCTCCCCCCAAAAATCAAATACATCCTCATCATCTTCTCTGCTACATTTTCCCCCGTAGAACCTATCAGCATCTAATATAACGTGCCCTATTTATTGATTTGCTTACTGTCTCTCCCCACACTAAAATGCAAGCTCTACGATCAGGTTTTGCCTGTTGTTGTTGTTGTTGTTGTTGTTGTTGCATTCACTGCCGTATCCCCAGCACATACAAGGTGTTCAAAAACCAATTGATCAATAAATACACAAAATTGTCTAAGAGAAGTTTTAATGGGTGATACAATGATCTTATATTTTGCTGTTTTCAATTCCTAATGACAGCAGGGCAGGAAGAGAAATTAGTTTTAATTTTAAAAAAAGGACAGCAGGCCAGAGATCCATGAAAAAGCTCACCAACTCGGGCAGATAAACTCTGACAGGAGAAGGAGACATCTGAATACCAGAGGCAGCCAGCAACTGCCAGCATTGAACTGTTCAACCACCGGTGCCCAAACCTCGCTCTCAGATCATCCCAAGCATAGCGCCCCCAGTTCCAATTTCATATTTCTATGAAAGTTAACTCATGTGTTCAATATATATTTATTGAGCAGCTCATATAAACAAGGCAATCTGCTAGTTCCTGGGCAGATAGTCACGAGCAGAGGACATAAAGTCCCTGCCTCATGAAGCTTAGAGTCTAGTGAGAGAGTCAGATAATGAGGTAATTTTGGATCCCAATAAACAGAAGAAAGTAAAACAGGCTGAAATGATGGCGCGGAACTGAAGGTCACAGAGGCCTCTCTGTGGAAATGAAATTTGAGCTGAGAGCAAAACAATGCGAAGGAGCTGGTCTTGCAAAAAGCAAAAGCAAAAAGGTTACAGTCCTGAGAGTGAGTGTGGCGGAGAATCAATTTAAGGAACAGGAAGGAGGCCAGTGTGGCTGACGTGGTGGGCACCAGGGGCTAAGGCTGAAAGAGTCATAAGCTTCCTCAGTTGTGGGGGTGGGTGTCCCCTGCACACATTCCCCCCAAAAGTAGGGTCTTTCTTACTTACATCACAAGACACACGTAGAGAAGGTAGAGATGTGTTTGGTTTATCTGAGCAAAATCTCAGTTCAGTACAAAAATGTGTACACAGCCTACTTCACTCAAAAGTACCAGTCACTTCACCCAAAATAGGACTCAGCTTTGTACTTTCTAGACTCTAAGTCCGGTGATCTGTCATCTTGGCCCATCAGTCTCCTCTTTGCCCCTCCCCCTCCAAATCCCTCTGTCCAGTGTGAGCCCGGACGCATCCTCCCCGAGTACCGTAGGCAGCTGTCCCACTCTCTCTCCCTCCTTAGCCCACCCTTCAGCAGCTGCTTCTGTCTGAGGAAGAGTAAGAGGGACTATTTAAAGAAACAAAGGGGGCGGGGCAAAGGAGGCCTAGGCTGGGCTCTGGATGAACACGGGAGGCCAGGGGGCTGGTGACCATCCAAATGGGCCTGCAGATGGTTTTCCTGGTTACCAGGGCCAGGCAAGTACATTGGGAAGCAAGATGACCACAGGATGCATACTACTGGGGTCAGGGTGGGAGGGACGTGCTGTGATTGAAAGGTGCCACCTGTCAGATCTCCATGGGAAACCTGAGCCTCCCAGGCCAGAGGAAAGTGTTGTACCAACAGGGCAGTAAACAATGCTCTGCAGAGGCCCAAGGCTCTTGAAATGGGGGTGGGGTGGAAGGAGAGGGGAAGGTGGAGGGGGGGCAGGGACAGGACTGCTGGGGGCTAGAGGCCTCTGGTTGCCCAGGAGCGAGGCCACTCAGCTAGAAGAAGGAGACAGCTCTCAACCCCCCCGGGCAGAGGCCCCACAGGTAAGAGAAGCCCTGAGCCCCTGTCTAAGGGCCTCCCTCCTTCTGTCAACCCCTCTCCCACCTTCCAAGTGTGGGGATCTCCCTCCAAGCAGGGCCCCAAGATGGAGAAATCCAGGCTTCTTTCTAATTTTCACCACCTCTGTGTCAACTCTCTTTAGACACTAGAGCTCAGGGACTCAGCCTCTGGGGTGCTGGGCAACCTGCCATCGCCTGCAGACAAGCCTGCAGATGGCCATCCGTGCGAGGGACCCAATGGGGCAGAGAGGCTCACCAGTTCAGTAGGGTGGGGAGCAGACTCTCTAAGCAGCTAAGTGGCCTCTCAAAAGGCGGGTCCCTGGCCAGGATGGAGGGCAGTAGAAGCCTCAGGACCACTGGAAAGCAGATAGGGTGACTGTGGGTCTGGAGGTATCAGCAGACACATCAAATGTCGTCTACACAAGTTGGGGCTTGGAACTTGGGCTCCTGGGAGGAGAGACGAGCTGTCTGCAGTGCTGCTTCAGACACAAAACTGAGGTGGTATGGAGGCTTCGGGGGGAGGAAGAAGGGAGCTAAGTGAAAGGGAAGGAAGGAAAGAGAGAGGGCTGAACTTCTCAGCCATGTCTGACTGTCCTCCCCCACTGGGGCCCCTTCATGTGGGCTGGAGCCTTTCAAAGGACACTGGCTGAGGACCAGGTGGGAGCAGCATCCGTGACACAGGCTCCGGGCTGGTTGTCAGGAGACTTGGGTTCTACGTACAGTTTGGACATTTCGTTGTCCTATGAGTACAGACAAGGGACTTCAAGTTCCTCAGCTTCAAGTTTTTAATGAGTCCAGTGGAGCCAATCACACGTGTCCCCAAGGGTTAATGAGTGGGGAACAAGCAAGTGAGGTACAGGAGGCATTGTGTGAGCTGTGAGCCACTCTGGAGATGTTGATGCTGTTGGGGGCGGGGGGCGTTATCTTGGTTTCTGAACATTCTGAGTTTCTTCACTCCTTACCTATTTACGACATGCCTGGAGGGTGGAAAGCTGAGGTGATGGACATGCAGCACGGCCGAGGGGTGTGTGTGTGTTTGTGTGTGTACACCTGTCTTTCCCCTCCGCCGCCCTAAGTGTGTAGATGTAGACAGAGGGAAAATGGTTGCAGCACTTTGCTATGTCTTAGCCAATTACTACCACACTTTGAGGTATAAAAAGGGCTTGTTATCAGCTTACCGGCATTCAGTTCTCTTTGCCTTGTCTCACCAACTAAAAGCCCTCATGGCCAGATCAGGGCTGTAGTCTGGCTGAGGCCAACCTACAACGTACGAGCTGATGTGTTCTGAGCACGCCAGGCGGGCCTCAAACTACTTCCTGCGCAGTGGCTTCCTTAACCGTCCACCATCCCTACGCGGTGAGACCTATTTTTACCTCCAAAAATCAAAACACCAGGAAGGCAGGTAGCTTGCTCAAGGTCACACAATTAGTAAAGAGTGGGGCTGAGATCCCATCCTCGGAAGCCTCCTGAATCAATGACTTTCACCACTACTCCACACCACCTTCCAAACAAGAGGGCAGGGCAGGAAGGGATGTGCGGGTCATTCAGGCCAGCCTTGGCCATGTTTTCTTCAGCTAAACATGGCATTGCTCAGGGGAGTGGCAGTGGCTCCTAAGGAAAAACAACAACAAAAAAAAATAAAAAAGGAAAAGAAAAGAAAAAGAAAAAAGAAAGCAAGGGAAAAAAAAACAGAGTCAAAGAGGTTTGGGAAAAACCGAGTTAAATAAGGCTAAGCAAAGTTAAGGTTTCTTTACTATGGTGTATCTAAGTGCTAATGAAATTGTATATTTCTTTTTTATTTGTTTATTTTTAGAGAGAGGGGAAGAAAGGGAGAAAGAGAGGGAGAGAATCATCTGTGAGAGAGAAACATTGATCAGTGGCTTCTTGCATGCACCCTGAATCCAAGAGCACCGAATCCAGGGACTCTGGAACCCTGGTCTAGGGGCAGTGAGACCCAGAAACAGCGCCCTGGTCCAGGGACCAAACCCACAGCCCAGGCACATGCCCTGACTGTGGGTCGAACCAGAGACCTTTCACTCTGCGGGATGACGCCCAACTAATTGAGCCACACCGGTCAGGGCTGAAGTTGTATATTTCTAAAAGGACAAAGAGTAGGTTCTTTTTAGAACAACCTTATCCAGAGAATAAATCCACCCCCAAGCCCCTATTAATGTCTTAAGAGACCCTAATTTTCCACAGAACACAGTTTGGAAAACCTGATCTAAGCCAACCCTGTCATTCTTGGTGGAAACTGAGGCCCAGAGAGGCAAAGGGACTTGCTCAGGTCTCAGAGTAAGTGGCTAGGAGATGGGGGTCAAGGCCAGCTTCATGAGCATCCCATGTCCCTGCACATTTGTCCCCTCTAACTCCAAAACATGCTGGAGCCGCTGAACCCTGCAGGCGCTCTGGCGGGAGAGGCGGAACTGGAGGACAGTGTAAACACCTTTGCACATTCCAGCTGCTTCCTAGGGAGCAGTGAGGGCGCCGACTCCAGGGACCCCGGGACCCTGGTCTGGGGGCAGTAAGACCCAGGAACGGAGCCCTGGCCCTTTTCTGCCTGTCTTCCCGCCTCGGTCCCAATTACCCAGGTGCCCTGGGTACTATCACCCAGAACGATGGTCCTGTGAAGGGCAGGCGGTATTTTTAGCCAGTGACAGGGGTGTCTACTTTTCTTGCTGCCTGAGTCATGCCCTGAACACTATTTGGGGACTGTTTTCTTTGTAAACAGACCCCCAAGAAGGGCAGGGAGATGAAGGAGCTGGCCCAGCATCCCCCATCCACCTGTTATTATAGATCCCAGAGTATATACAGTATTTGAATAGGAAACCTCAAATTAAAGCATCATGATTTCTCTCTCCTCACCAGCCCCAGGCAGCTGGAGGATCAGATTTCCCTGCTGAGGTTAGAGAGAGTAGCTTCTACTCTTCACCAAAGGAAACCCTTCCACGCGCCTGGGCGCACTTTTTTGAGAACCGGGGGTGGGCAGAGGTGGTGGAGGCCCAGAGACCGGCTGGCCCAGGGGTTCCCAAATCTCAGGTAATCTTACTCTGCCTCTATGATGTAGCGACCTCTGTGCCACCTGCATTCTGCTTTCCTGAATGTCTTCCTCTGAATTAACTTACTTTTCAATAAATTGTTTTAAAAGTTATATCACTGCTAGAGATGGAAACTGGGGAGACAAAACAGTATTATGAAATTCTGCCCAGCTGCTCCTGCCTGCTGTGGGCTCTGCACCCGAGGCTAGCCATCTCCACCGTGGTCCAGAACGCTAGCACGGAGTCGTAACCCCCGCACGGCTTAATCAAAAAGAGGCCAAAATCCCTGAAAAGATATTGTGTGGCCTGACAGTCTTTAAAGCCCAAGCCACAACCTGCAGAGGGCGGGCAGGTGAACCCCGCCCAGCATCGAGTCTGTGAGGCCCACACCCCGCCTCCTCCAGGGAACTGGCACCCGGCCCCTTCCTCACACCCCGAGGCAGTGGATGCTCAGGCCACATGTCCAAGTAGGAAGGACCCAGAACTGAACCCCAGGCCTCCAGACCCTGGGCCTGCGCCGAGGGTGGGCCTTCACCGCCTGCAGGAGGGGACGTAACCAGGCCTGCTTGTTTTCTCTCCCCAGAGATGGAGCAGAAGGAAGGGGAGCCCTCTGAGGATGGGACCACTGTCTCCCCAGCCGCAGGGCCCCCGGGGACGCCCGGGGATGAAGCCTCCGCAGAGGTGGAGGCCAAAGGCACGACAGAGAGCACCGTCACAGAGGGGCCTCCGGCTGCGGCAGGAAGGCAGGAGGGAGCCCCAGCAGAGGATGGTGTTGCAGCGGAACTCCAGGGGGAAGCCAATGGGTTAGATGAGGTCAAGGTGGAGTCCAACCTGGAGGCTGGACTTCCAAAGGAGGGCGGTGGGAAGGAAGAGACCAAAGAGGCTCCTCAGGAGATGACGGATGGGAGAGAAGAGACCAAATCTGAACCCAGGGAGGCTGAGGGAAAAGAGGAGACAGCAGTGGCCTCTGAGAAGCAGAAGGCTGAGGAGAAAGCAGCCAAGCCCGAATCCAGGGAGAAAGAGCACGTGGAGGATGAGGCCGCGGCTGAGCTGAAGCAGGCCGCCGGGGCGCAGGAGGCCGCGACAGCCTCTCAGGAGGAGAGTGACAAGACGGGGGCACCTGAGGCTGAAGCCCGGGCGGGAGCCAGTGCCTCAGAGGCCCAGTCAGACTCTGAGGAGAAGGCTGCCCTGGGAGAGGAGGCCAAGGCTGCAGCACAGGAGGGTGACATGAAGGAAGAGGCGGTGAGTGAGGCAGAGGAGGGGAGGGAGGGGGCCCCATCAATGTTCTGCAGTTTCCTGCTCCCCAGGGAGGCAAGGCCCCTCTGCTTTATTCCCTGGGAAAAGTCCAGTCTTCCTCCCACAGATATCAAGAGCCTGGGGTGGGGGGTGCTGCACCCTGTCCCAGGCTGCCTTCCAGATCTTTCTGGAGCCCTCCTCACAAAGCCTTGGGCAGGCGCTGTGTGACCGCGAGCTGAGAGCCTGTCGGTTCCAGGACTCAGGTGGTCCCGAAGAAGAGCAGGACCAGGGTGTGGACGGAGAGTCAGAGGAAGGGGCAGGGGTGCCTCCCAGCTCCCCTGAGGAGTGGCCCGAGAGCCCCACGGAGGAGGGTCAAGGCCTCAGCCCAGGTGAGTGAGAGCCGGGAGCCGAGAGGCCGCTGCAGGGGCGCCCCTGCAGGGCACGCAGGGAGCAGCCACCGTAGCCCCCCACTTCTCTCCCTCTGCTCCTTTCCTGCAGATGGGCTGGGCCCAGACACTGCAGCTTCAGGAGAGACCAGCCCCTCAGCCAGGTAATGTCCAATCCTGGGGCCCCGGCTCCCACTCCCCCCAACACCTGCTCCCTTCAAAACCTACCCTCAGCTGGGCTTGGGCCTCCTCAGCATCTGACCTCACGAATCCCCGGATTCCTGGCATTCAGCCCTTCCCGAGGCAGAGCCCAGGAAACCGAAGGAGCCAGATCTTGGAGTCAAGGGAGCATGGCGCACCTGGTCCACCTCCCCTCCACCACTGGCCTGTGGGCGTCCCTGACGGCCTTACAGAGGCCCTCCCCTCACTGCTCAGCGTGTTCCCGCGGTGCCAGCACCACTCACAGAGCATGAGCGGAAAGCCTGAGTTGGGACAGCGACTCTGTCGCTCACCAGCTGTGTGACCTTGGCCATGTCGCTTCGCCTCCCCTCATCTGTGAAGTGGGTGCTGGTGCCTGCAGCTCCCTCGCAGGACCATTGTGAGGCTGAGACAACGTGCTGCGTGTAGAGCACTTAGCGCAGTGCCTGGTGCCCCGCCGGGGCTGGATAAAACGAGAGCCTGATTCTTGCCACTGCCCAACTTCAGTCCTTGGAAGAACCTTCCTTTCTTTTGACCTGAGATGCACCTGTGTGTGACTTCCTTAGAGAAGGGTAACTGAATACGCACGGAGCGCTCAGGCGTTTATGTGACAGGCACAGTGGGGTGCTCTACGTTCCCCGTCGTACTCAAGCCTTAGAGCCATCTGGCCGGGTAGGTGTATTCCTGCCCCCATTTTACAGATGAGGAAGCTGAGGCTCAGAGACATAACATGACAGGTGCCAAGGTCACACAGCAAGTAAGAGGCAGAGCCAGGATTCAAACTCAGGTCAGACCTCAGGCTTGCCCTAGTTTTGCCCTCACATCCCTCCAGACCACACGCTCCCCAAGTTAGACTGAGCCTCGTTATTCCCTCCAGCCCCTCCCGGTGCTGGGCACAGAAGAGGTGCCTGCTGAGAGTGGGTGCCCTAACTGCGAAGCCTTCGGACTGCAGGGACCCCAACCTCCAGCCAGCCCCCACCCCCTCCCTGTGCCCTGTACTGGCTGGTCCCAGGCCCTCACTGGTCTCTGAACCTTTCCGTGTAGTGAGTCTTCACCCAACGAGGTGCCCCAGAGTCCCACGGAGCCCCCTCCCTCACAGGAGAAGAAGAAGGAGAAGGCCCCGGAACGCAGGGTGACAGCCCCTGCTCGGCCACGGGGGGTCCATGCACAGAACCGCAAAGCCATCGTGGACAAGTTTGGCGGGTAGGATGCAGGCACGGAGCCGGCTGGGCGAGGCTTTCCTGGGGACCGAGGGCCAACCAGAGGGAGGCCTCAGGGGGTGGGGTCGGGCCAGGCCCAGAGGGGAGAGCTGACACAGGGGCTAGGGCACCTCCCTGATGGGCCCCTCTATGGCCTCCCACCTCTCTGTCTGGCCTTCTCCATCCCTCCCCCCACAGGGCAGCTTCAGGCCCCACAGCCCTGTTCCGGAACACTAAGGCAGCCGGCGCAGCCATCGGTGGCGTCAAGAACATGCTCTTGGAGTGGTGCCGGGCCATGACGAGAAACTACGAGGTGGGCACGGGACGGGGACCCATCCTCAGGGCAGCAGTGCGGGGGAGTGGCTGCATGCTGCAAAGCTCAGAGGGTGGGAGGCTCAGGGGGCTGTGTCCGGGCCCCACAGCCGGAGGCTCACGGAGGCCACCCCTTCCCGCTGGCCTGCAGCATGTGGACATTCAGAATTTCTCATCAAGCTGGAGCAGCGGCATGGCCTTCTGCGCCCTCATCCACAAGTTCTTCCCAGATGCCTTTGACTACGCCGCGCTGGACCCCACAAAGCGCCGGCACAACTTCACCGTGGCCTTCTCCACTGCAGAGTAAGCCACAGCCAGGACGGCAGAGCCACGGGGGGCAGCGGGGGCGGGTTCAGGTCCCGAAGGTGAGGGCTGCACTCACAGGCGTCGCGGAATGCATGGCCACACATGGGTGTAGCCAACAGACAGTTTTTGATGGCCAGAAACTATTTCAGGACAAAGCAGTCGGCGAATTGGCAAAAGCCCGGCGTGTGCTTGGCTGATACTCCAGAGGGAGAGAGGTCATCACACACACATACCAAATATCGTGCTGGGGGATTAGGTGCCATGAAGACGATGCCAGCAGGGTGAGGGACAGAGAAGAGGAGGGTCAGCTCTGCTGTACTGGACAGAGGGGCGCGGAGATTTGGTGTCAGATTCTGACTCGGCCACTTGTTGGCTATGTGATCTTGGGCAGGCTTCTTTACCTGAGCCCCTACATTCTGATCTTTAAAATGGGTATGAGGTTTCCTCTTCTGCAAGGCTATTGTGAGAATTAAGTAAATAACTAAGTAAGGGCCCTAGAACAGCACCTAACGTGCAGAGAAAACTTCAAAAAAGTCTTAGCTGCTGTTCTTGTATTATAATGAACGGCATCACAACTGTTAAGAAAATGATAATTTGCTTTGGAACCTGGAGGAGGTTCTATGGCTGAGACTTGCAGAGCCAGGGGCCAGAGATGGCAGCGGGATGGAGAAATGGGTGGTCCTAGAAGGGCGGGGTGGGGGGGCGGTGTGAGGAACAGCATGGCTCAAGGAAGAGCCTGAGAGGCAAGGCATGGCTGCCAGGTCGGGGAGGCGGCGGTGCTCCCTCCACCAAAGCACTAAAGCCAGCCTCAGCCGGACGCCTCAGTCCCTACCCTCCAAGGCCTGAGACCCTTCTGCTGGCCTTAGGGGTCCCGAAGAGCTCATCCCGGGAGGGCCTGTTCCCTCCGGCCCCAGGGAGAGGCTTCTGAGCCACCTGGTGGAGCAAGGACTGTGTGGAGGGCGTGGACCGTGAGGGCAACTCTGGGGGCATTTCTAGAGCCCCAAACACAGAAGAAGTGACTGGGGATGTTAGCAGCTCCTTGGTCTGGGAGGGAGCCTCCTGATCCTGTCCAGGCCTGGCCACCAACTTGCAGGGAAGCCTGGGACAACCTTCCCTTCTCTGGGCCTGCCTGTCCCCATTGGCAAAATGAGAGGATTGGTTATTGATCTGTGCTTTTAAAGTGGGTGGGGTTTTCCCTCAGCAGATTCCTCAAAGTATGAAGTGAATTTACAATATATAAAACAGATTAAAGGGGGACCTTTTTAGGTTGGGGGCACTCCGGGAGCTTAGCGCCCCACCTCCCTTCCCAAGATGGTCCCTGAAGCATGTCTGTCGGGCTCCAGGGCACCAAGAGAGAGTGACATCTGAAAACCACCAGGTGATGTTCTGGAAGATCCCTTCCAGTTTCACATTTTCCTGCTGAGGGAAGGAGTGCGTGCCCTGGGGCGGGGGGCTCAGGAGCACCACTGTCCTGCTCTGGGCTCAGAAACACCTTTGACGATGATGACAAGCCACACGAATTGAGGGTGATGAGCGTTCTGCGAAGTGCTTCCCTTGGTTTATCCCATTTAATCCTCACAGCGACCCCAGGGTGTGGGCACAGGTAGAGCTGTTTCGTGACATCCGAGGGTTGGAGGGGCAGGCTGCGGCAGAACTGGGATCTGAAAGTGAGCCCCGAGTCAGGACGGAGAGCTCCAAGTGAACATCAGACGGGCGTGCGGCTCTGCCCTGACCAGGTGTCCCTGGCTGTGGGGCATGGGTCCTTGTCCTCCTCCGAGCCAGGCAGAGCCACAGGAAGGCAGGAGGGATAATCAGCAATGAGGACAGGCTGGCAGGAGGCATCAGGCAGCAGTGAAAAGCAGGGGACGTGGCGGGGACCGTGGGGGTGTAAGGTGGAGAATAGAGGCTGAGGTGCCGAGTTTGAATCCTGCCTCCTTGCTCCTTAGCTCTGTGGCCCGCAGCAGCTGACTTAGCCACCCTGATGGGTTAAGGTGAAGGTTAAGTGTGCCAAGTAAGGTTATCACCTCATTCTAGAATTCTCCTCTGGTTGCTGTGGTGTCCCAGGCTGACAGAAGGGAGCTGCCAGGGCTGACGCCCCTGTGGGCTAGATCGGCTGCGTTTCTGGAGGAGTCTGGCCCCCTCTCCTGTGTAGGGGTACAGGGCCCTCACCCAGAAGCCGAGGTCACTGCATCGGTTGCAGGCAACCTGTCCCATGCATCACAATCCTCCGGCCCGTGCTCCTCCCCCAGTACCCAGGCCAATCAGACTTGGGTTTCGGGCCAGTTGTCTCAGTCCCAAGAAACGATTTCCCCTGGGACCAGGTTTCTCCTATTGCCAGCGCCTGCCCGCAGCAGTTTGGCAGGCTGGGGTGGCTGAGGCCTGGCTTCAGGGCAAGGGTGCCAGAGGCGGCAGGCCGGCCTGGGGTTGAGTCCCAGCTATGTCACTCACTTTGACCTTGGGCAAATCACCAAAATGCTCTGAGTCTCCAGTTCCTCTTCTGCTGGTGGAGGATGGAGGGGAGGTGTAAATGAGACCATTGAAGGGGAAACGCTTGATAAAGCACCTGGCACAGGGCAGTGCGGCCCCAGCGGCGGAGAGCTCGGATTAACAGCCTTAGCAAAGCCAGCAGTGGCACGTTGCCCCCAAGAGCAGCTGGGAAATTAGAAAAAGAGGACTTGCTGCTAACCTCCATGCAGTTCCTCAAACACATCAAGCACGCCTGCCCCAGGGCCTTGGCACATGTTCTGCTGTCTGGAATCCTCTTCCCCCAGATATGTGCACAATTTACTCTCTCTTTAAGAGACCTCCTTCCCTGAGCACCCTTTTTAAAATACTGCTAACACAGGAATGTACCCTGCCTCCCTCCTCTGCCTTATTTTCCCCCATAGCACCTGTCACCATCTGACGGACCATCTATTTCATTACTGTCTGTGTTCTGCCACAAGAATGTCTATCACATCAGAGCAGGGAAGTCTGGTTTTCATTCAGTGCTGAGTTCCCACAGTAAATACACGGAGGCTGAATGAAGACGGAGATGTTGCAGCCATAAGCTAACACTCTGGTTAGGATTGCGGTTCTGTCCTTTCAACACTTCCTGAGGGGCCCGGCCTTCCAGAAGACAGACGCAAGAAGACCACGTGGGAGGGGTGGGTTAGGGTAGAGCTATAGACCAACAGGGCCCACGCCACGTGAGGCCACGGTGCAATGAGAACACGGGTTTTGGAATCAGACCAAGCCGAGTATAGGCTCTGACTCTGTCAGGGCCTCAGTTTCCTCATCTGTACAATGGGATAGTTGGCCCAGATGACCTCCCATCTCCAATACACACAGTGCGCCCTGATGGGGCTGTCCCCACCCCTTCCCCTCACTCCCGTGTTCTTCACCTTGGCTCTGCTCCTCACCCCACCCCACCTCTGGCTCTCAGGAAACTGGCCGACTGTGCGCAGCTGCTGGAGGTGGAAGACATGGTGCGGCTGGCAGTGCCCGACTCCAAGTGCGTCTACACCTACATCCAAGAGCTGTATCGCAGCCTCGTGCAGAAGGGACTGGTGAAGACCAAGAAGAAGTGAGGAGCTGACTGACCTTGTGAGCCAGGTGGCCAGGGTGCCCAGCTGACCAGCCACGGCCCTGAGGCTCCCTTCTGCTCCAGAGACAAGAGAGCCAGGCCCTGGGCAAAGGCAGGTGGCATCAGTCTTAACCGCATTAAAAGCACTTCTGTAAAATCCTGCCTGGCTCCCTCCCTAGCCCACCTACGAACCTCTCCCACTGGGATAACAAACCCCAGCTGCCAGGATTCCTCACCCGACACAATCTTTTCTACGGCATGAAAGGCATCTGGGAAAGGACAATGGCCAGGGTCCCACCACTGACCAGCTGTGTGACCTTGGGCCCGTGAGTTAACCTCTCTGAACCTGTTTACCATCTGATTGTGATAAAAGGAGTTCAAACCTCATGGAGGGGCCGTGAGGGTAAGATGAACTAATAAAATGAGCAAAAAGCCTTGCCTGGTGCCCGTCACAGACGCGTTCAACAAGTGGTGGCCAAAAGTAAAAACAAGTCTTATATTTTGAGCCATTGGTGGCACTTTCCCCAATTCTATTCCCTCTTTCCACACTCCTCCCAGATTAGAGAATCCCAGGGTAGGGGCTGGAGTAGGAGATGCTTTAGAAATCTCACCCGGACTTGACTCAAAGATACCCCACGTTTCTATCTCTTAAAAGCAGGTGGGCCTTAATGGGTGTGGCTCAGTTGGTTGGAGGTCATCCTGCAAAGTGAAAGGCCACCTGTTTGATTCCCAGTCAGGGCATATGCCTGGGTTGTGGGTTCAGTCCCCAGTCGGGGCACATACGAACGGCGACCGATCGATGCTTCTCTCCTTTTCTTTCTCCCTCCTTCTCCTCTGTCTGTAAATAAATAAATGCAGGTGGTTTTCCAGGAGCTCAGAACCACTGCACCCAGAAAGTTCTTCCCTTGGGTTTAGTTAATCCCTCCAACTCTGGCTACAATTGTGGCTTGTTTTTGTTTCTTCATTGCTCATTAGAGATGAACCACTGAGCTGATTATAATGTCCCGCTAACAATCCTGTCTGGCTTTATCAGCCATTTGGAAAATGTTGGTAAGGGTGGCCCAGGAAAAACACAAAAACAAAAACAAGCAAAGCGGCACTGAGGCAGGAGGTGTAGACTCTGCCCGAGGGGCAGAGTGGACCTGGGAACCCACCGCCATGCCCTATGCCTCCAGTGTCTCATCTATAAAATGGGGACATTACCCCTGTGGATGTGCTGACGGTCCCTGTGGCCAGGATGCCTAGTCCCTTGTGGCCTCCCAATGTTTGGGGTTACCCGAGGCTCAAGGCCAGCAGTTCAGGAGAAGTTGGATCACACCTTTTATTAAACAGCAGCTAAATTCCCAGCTTCCTCTTCTCCTAATGAAACCACTCCATCCCTTCAACAAACACTGAGCCAGACTCCACAATTCATCAGTGACTTTAATGGCTGGACATACACATGATTTCCACGACTCCCCTGAACTGAAAGCAAAGTGAAAGGTCGCCCATTCGATTCCCAGTCAGGGCGCATGCCTGGGTTGTGGGTTCAGTCCCTGGTCAGGGCACAGACGAACGGTGACTGATGGATGCTTCTCTCCCTTTCTTTCTCCCTCCTTTTCCTCTCTCTGTAAATAAATAAATGCAGGTGGTTTTCGAGCCTGAAGCCTGGCCTCCAGGGAGGGGCAGCTTAATAAGATTGCAAGTGGTTTGGAAACCATGTAGTGAGATTTCTGGGATGGAGATCATAGTCTTCACTTAGTGATGCCTCAGTGGAAAGGAAAAGGTTTAGCACCAAAATCTACACGTTTATCAGCAGCCTGGCTGATTTCAATCATGTAACCAATGAATCACCCAATCGGAGGTGACTCCCTCCACGGTGTCCAGCCTCCCCACCCCGTCCCCAGAGCCCCAGATGCCTGGGCCCCAGGGGGATTCTGGCTGGCTGCTGGGCTCATTTCCTGTGAGCTGGCCTGGAAAATGACCTCTAAGATGGAGCAACTAGTAAGACCAGGATCCCCACATGAGAGAATGCTGGAGAGCTGGCCTGCGATTCTGCAGATGAGCTCTGGGGCAGAGAAAGGGAGGGGGAAAGCCCATCTGTGGCCGGGTGAACCTGGAACTGGGTCCGCACATACCATATACCACTCACACAACTAATGACTAACAACCGAAGGAGAGAAACAAAACAGAACAGGAAAACTGAGCCGGGAATGGGCCACCCAGGGGCTCTGGCCCCAGTCCGTGCGGTGTGTCTGTCCATCACGCCCACAGTAGGGCGGAACCAGCGTTAGGAGGGCCGGTGCTCTCCAAACTTGAGGGTTTCCTCTTCGGCCTTCCTTCTGAACAGCTCCGGGTCCTTTGCTAGCAGGTCAGCGAGCTCCAGGCGCAGGGGCCCCCCTAGCTTCAGCTCCGGTTCATGCACCAGAATGTTGAGGGCCTCCAAGACTGGGGAGAGAGGCCAGATTAGGGCATCAGGACGGAGAGAAAAGTCCGGGGAAGGGGGTGGTGGCCGCCCAGTCCCAGGTCCCCCGGAAACTCTATGCTCACTGTTTGGGGGACCCCCAAGGAGGTTCCATCTCTCAGGATGACCTGACAGCCAAAGCAAATGCCCCTCCCAGTCCTGGCTGAAGATGCCAAAAGCCCTGACTGGTTCTGCCAGTGGTTTTCAAACTATGTTCCACGGTGAGACACGTGGGGTGTCTGGGTTCCGCTCCCTTTTCAACAAGAACCACTCATTTTCCTGCTTGATATTAGGGTCTCAAATAAACTTAATTTGGGAAAAAGGGTTCTGAGGCTAAAGTCTGGGAACCACGACAGCTCGGTGGCTCCTGATCTTTCGCAGATGCCTCTGGGAACCTGAGGAAGACAGGGCCAGCCCCCCAGGCACATGCATCTGCACACAAGCATGCAGTTCTGAGATAAGACTACTTCGCAGACCTCCGAAGGTCATCCAAGGAGCACTCCCCACCCACCCCCCGCCCCAGGATCCTTGTTGCTGGGGTAAAGAACTCCTGAGCGGGTCCAGTGGCAGACTGACTTAAGCCACTAGCCACAGGGGATTATCTAGATTTAAATTAATTCAAATTAACTACAATCAGGAACTCAGTTCCTCAGCCGCATTGGCCACATTTGCCACATTTCAAGTGCTCGACACAGCTGTGCACGGCTAGGGACTATGGAACTGGACGGCGCAGCCACATAGCATTCCCAAGACAGCACAGAGTTCCGCTCGACAGCACCGCACTCATCAGCCGAGCCGGCTCCGCATCCCAGCGCTGCCTGCCCCCCGCCCCCCCGCCCAGGCCAGCTGCGTGACCATAGGCTTCACCCCCGTGTCTCAGTGTGCTCATCCACTGAATGGGGCTAATCGGGCACTGCTGGTGGGGCTGGTCCGGGGACTAAATGAAATTGGTGGGTGAAGCCGTAAGTGCTTAATTGCTATGGATTCTCATCACTGGGCCAGTCCCCTCAACTGTCCTTTAGGGCACTGAGTGCTGAAACGGAGCAGAGACTTCGCCAAGGTCCGCAGACAGAGCAGCAGCCTTCTTGAAGGCCTGCCCTCTTCTTCCCAGCTGCTTCTCTCCCCCAGCCCACGTCTGCCACACCTACCCAGGTGTAAAGCCAGAGGTAACAGCAGGTATCTCAGGACACATCCCTTCCATTTCATGCCCCAACTCCACCGAGACCCATCAATTTTATCTCCTCTCTTTCAAACTTTTCTAACCCAAAATCAGCCCCGTGGCCCCTCCAGCATCGGCCCCTCCCGGCAGGCGTGGCCCCGCCCACCTTGGTAGGCCTTGGTGTAAGGCTTCCAGTTCTCCTTGCTGATGATGGGTAGGCACACCCGACCGTCAAGGTCCACGTTGGGGTGGTAGATCCGGGTTGTGAACGTCAGCGTGGGGGGCATGAGCGGATACTGCTCAGGGAAGTTGATGCGCAGGGAGAAGGCCTTGAGGTTGTAGGGTGGCTTCTCCTGTATGAGAAAAGGGGTGAAGCGCTGTTCCGAGGCAGGGCTGCCCTGAAAGGATCGCTTTCCTCCTGGAGACTTGGTCTGTTTCGCCCTTTCCTGCCCCGACCCCAGAGTCCCAGGCCTCCTCTGCCCCTCCCCGCCCCCCGCCTAGGGAGAATCATGACAGGCACCTGCATTCATGGATTAGTGGGAGAGTGGAGTCACCAACGAACACTGGCCTGTGGGGAGGGGCTCCCCAAAAGTCTGACCCTGGCTTTTGCTGTGTAACCTGGGCCAGGGCTCCCATCTTCAGGCCTCATCTTCCTCATTTGAAAAATGCGTAAAGTTTGACTAGATGAGCTCTAAGGACCACCTCAGCTTTTTCTTTTTTAATCGATAACAAACTTTTCCCCAGTGTTATTGAGCAATAATTGAATCACTATATACGTTTAAGATGTACAGCTTAATGGTTTGATTTACATATATTGTGAAATAATTACCGTAATAGGTTCCACTAACACCCATCTTCTTATACAGACACAATAAGAAAAGAAGAAAACAGAAAAAGTTTTTCTCCTTGTGATGAGAACTATACTCCCTTAACAACTTTCCTGTCTTATCATACAGCAGTGTTAACTATAGACATCATGTTGCACGCTACATCCCGAGTACTTATTTCTATCTTGTAACTGGAAATTTGTACATTTTGACCACTTTCCTTCATTTCCTCCTCCTTCCCTGTTCTGCCTCTGGTAACCCAAGTCTGAGCTCTTTTTCTGGGAGCTTGGGGTTTTCTTGTTTGTTTGTTTTCTTCAATTCCTCTCGTAACTGAGATCATACACTATTTGTCTTTACCCATCTGCCTTCAAGGCCCATCCATCTTGAAGAGGGGAAAGACACACATCATCCTCTGTTAGCAAATATAGGAGAACACCATTATTGGGGGTGAGAAAATGGGGAAAGTGAGGAAATCATAAGAACTCAGGCGGTTGGGGATGTAAAATAGGGCAGCTACTGCAGAAATCTGTATGGAGGTCCCTCAAAAAATTAAACAGAATTACCATATGACCTAGCAACTCCATTTCTGGGTATATACTCAAAAGAATTGAAAGCAGGGACTCAAACAGGTATTTATTCGTACACCCATGATCACAGCAGCATGACTCACAACAGCAGACGTCTGAAACAGCCCATCCATCTAGGAACGAATGCACAAGCAGCATGTGGCATGTGCGCACAATGGGATGCCATTCAGCTTTAAAAAGGAAGGACATTCTAACACATGTCACACCATGAACGGACTCTGAAGACATTACCGTAAGTGAAATAAGCTGGACCAAAAAAAAAAAAAGGAACAAATTCTGAATGATTCCACTTTTGTGAGCTACGCAGAATAGTCGAATTCATAGGCGTACATTGGAAAATTAGTCACCAAGAACTAGAGGAGAGAAGGGATGGGGCGTAAGTGTTTCACGGGTACAGAGTCTTGGGAAGAGGAAAGGGCTCAGGAGATGGATGGTGGTGATGGCTGCACAAAAATGAGGATGTTCTCGGGGCCACAAATCCAAAAACATAAAAAATGGTTAAAACGGTAAATGCTGTTACGTGTCTTTTACCGTGATTTAGGACATAAAGATGCAGGGGCTGGAGTAGTGACCAAGAGTCGGAAGCTTCTAGGACCCAGCAGGTAACCCTCCGGAGTCTAAGCAACCGAAGGCTTGCTGAACACCTACTCTGTGCTGCCCTGAGCCAAGCACATGACACACATTAGCCCATGCAGCAGAGTGTAAGGGGTTCCGTGGGCTTCGGAGCCACATTGCCTGGGTGTGAATCTTGGCTCTGCTGCTCACTAGCTGTGTGACCTTAGATAAGTAACTTAACCTCTCTGCGTTTCCACAGGGGAATAATAATACGCTTCTTCATAGGGCTTACGTGAGGATTAAGTGAGTTAATTTATGCCAAGGGCCTAGAACAGGGCCTGGCACTTGGCAAGCACTACGTATGTGTCACTTATTGTAAGTATTATAAAAATGCATGACAGTCAGCATCTCCACTTCCAGATGAGAAACTCAAGTTCAATGTACATAACTTGCCAAGGGCCACAGTGGCCATGCTCAGATGGGAACTCAATGCTGTCGACTCTGTCTCCACACACGAACACGACTCTATTCCCCAAGACAGACGAACCCGAGAACTTGAGTGACCCCAGCCAAGAGCTGGTGTCCCAGTCCAGGCTGGTGCCAAGTTTCAGACCTTTTCAGAACCTTAGTGAATGACAGGACAAGGCAGAGGCAGCCAGAACGACATACATACTCAAGCACAGTGAAGGTTTTAAGAGACCTCCTCTTCGTTAGCAAAAGGCAGAACAGAAGCCATAGTGGCCTTGGGTGTGTCTGAAGTAAGAGATGTGGTGACTACTGGGCTGATGAAAGGTCTCGGCTTCTTTGTTCCTGATACCAAGAAGGGGCTGGGACCTGGGAGGCAGAGACAGGGCCAAGGGTGGGGCCGCACGGAAGGCTAAAGGACTCTGGCATCTTATCTGTGACTTCGAAATCTGAACAACACTATTCTGATATAATTAATGAACATTTCTGTGTCCATTCTCCCTGACCCCTTCAGGATATTGGATGAAATATGCTTTATTTTGACAACCTTTTACCGACGTCTCTTGTGCCTGAGATGTCAGCTTCACTGGCGGTCTTGATATAACAAATGTCTGGAGAACACTTTGAGGTCCGCATAATTTGGGAAACTACTCTTTACCCTCTACCAGCCATGGAAAACAGGAAGTTTATCCCTATCCCTTGACAAAGGTCCAGGAAATCTTTTTTTAAAAGAAGATTTTTATTAACTTATTTTTAGAGAGAGGGGAAGGGAAGGAGAAAGACAGGGAGAGGAACACTGACCTCAGAGAAACACTGATCTGTTCCCTCTTATACGAACCCCGACCGGGGACTGAACCTGAAACCCAAGCCTGCGCCTTGGCCAGGAACCAAACTGGTGACCTTTCAGTTTGTGGGATGACGTCCAACCAAGTGAACTGGACCAGTCGGCTTTTTTTTTTTTAAAGAATAAAATCTTACCATTTACGACAGCATGGATGAGCTAGAAGGTATTACGCTACGTGAAATAAGTCAGAGAAAGACACATACCACAGGATTTCACTTATCTGTGGAATCTAAAGATCAATATAAACAAATAAACAAAATTGAAACAGACTCATAGATACAGAAAACAGACTGATGGTGGCCAGAGAGGTGGGGGTTTGAGGGACTGGGTGAAAAAGGTGAAAGGATTACAAAGCACAGACGGGTAGTTACAGGATTGTCATGGGGATGTAAAAGTACAGCACAGGGAATACAGTCAATAGTATTATAATAACGATGCATGGTGCCAGGTGGGGACTGGAAATAGCAGGGAAACCCTTTTAAAGTATGTGATTGTCTAACCACTAGGCTGTACACCTGAGACCAATACAAGATAACATTGCATGTAAACTGTAATTGAAACAGTGATTAATAAGTAAATAAAATGTAAAAACAAATAAATTTAGCTACAAAAAAGAGATTCCCCCCCCCCCTTTTTTGGATGCTTGTTTGTCTGCTAAAGTTTCTATGGTGGGCTTGGTGGCTACTAGTTTGAGGAAGGGGTCTCCTCCTAAGTCCAAAACCCTTTTAGCTCCTTCTGCCTCAAGCTCGGAAGCGATCAATCCAGAGAGAGACCCCTCTACCCATGAGAGAGGCAGTAAAACAAGGACTCTAAGGCAGGGAAAACTCTTGCCCACTCCTACCCACCCCTGCCCAGGCCCCTGGCCTAAGTCACCCATCCCAGGGACACTCACGGGCAGGAGGAGCACATGCCACACCAGGACGTTGTTGTCATCACTGAACAGGTTCCGCAGGTACCAAGGAAGAGCCTTCTGAAGATCCTCCAGCTCCTGAGGGGCAGAGCGAGGGGGCAGTGGGCCTACTCTCCCCTACTCCAGCTGCCTCCCCCGCCCCAGCACAAGCTGCCCTAAGTCCCAAAGTCAGAGTCTCCGTTTACTGAGCGCTTAGCATGGGTCAGGCCCGGTGCTTAGTGCTCTAAGTGACATATCGATGTTAGCCTCACATGGCAATGTCAGTGCTGGGTGAAGGGAAGATGAAGGTCACTGCTTCCAGATGTTACAACTTAGGAGTCAGCTCTCTTAGGAGTCTTTTGTCCTGAAACCATCCTCTAGTCCATTTTCTCCATCCTCTAGGCCTTTTCCTAGAGAGTCAAAGCCCCTAAGACCATCCCTCCCTCCCTCCCTCCAGAGCATCCACTGAGGGTCCAGCATGACGGCGTGTCCCCACTGTGCTCACGGCAGCAGAGGCATCGCCCTGTGCCTGTCAGACTGCCCCCCACCCCCAACCCAGGGTGAGGGAAGGGAGATGGCTCGGACTGACCATAGCAAAGCAGAAAAGTCTATACAACAGGCAAAGAAACAAGGGGACGGGAGGGACCTCTCTTCCTAGAAATGCCGGCCAATCACCTAGACATTACCGAATTCTCCCCACAGCCCTTTCCAAAGCATCCTCTACTAACACCTGACCAAGACAGGGCCCAGCCATCGAGGACTTCATTGGAGCAGTGAAGGAACCAAGGGTCTGACTATGTGGCCAGTGTGTGGAGAGGAGGGGGCAGCAGGAAGGAGAGGAGGGGGCAGCAGGAAGGCTTCATGGAAGATGACACTGAGCTGGGCCACACAGAATAAAAGGAGCCCACCCTGCAGAGAAGGGAGAGGCACCAAGGCAGAGGGCCCAGTCAGAGCAAACGTGTCCAGCGTGTCTCATACAAGGTTAATAGTTATTACAGGAAAAGGGTCCCATGGTCGAATGTATTGGGAAACACTAGGCTAAACAGATTTCTCTATGGCAGGACTTCTCAAGTCTTTAATATGCTATTGTGTATTGTGACACTCTAAGGTGTGAGCCCACTGCATGCAGTACTTCTCAAACGTATTTGACCAAGGAACCTCTCCCTTTTGGGGTCCATCCTGTGGCACAACAGACCTTTTCTTTGGTGGGGGGGACAATTTAAAGATTCAAAGGCATTCAAGAGCAGGTCATATCTTCTGGAACACAGAATGGATATAACCACTGGTTCTATACTAAGGGCAACTTTAGCATCCCCACCCCCGCCAGGGCAATGCCTACAACCAATTTTAGTCGTCACAAATGGGGATGCTACTGGCATTTAGTGGGTAGAGGCCAGGGATGCTCATAAACATCCTACAAAAAATTGCCTGGCGCAAAATGCCAATGCTGACGAGGTTGAGAGACCGCAGTGTTAACAAGGGCAGAGAGAAAGCTTCCCACAGCCCATCCACAGCTGGGGAGGGGTCCCTTAACACTGTGGACCACCTGAACTTCACCGGCCCCTATATATAAACACACCCCTGTTCTCCATTCAGTGCATGCTCTGTCTCTTTTCATGCCAACAAACTGCTTCTGCCCAGAGTCTATGACCCTCACTTATCTTTTACCCCAAACTAGAAGCACCTGCTACTCCAAGTTCTAGTTTCAATATTACCTGTGACTCTTGCAGCAATGAAGGCCAAGGTTGAATGGAGAAGCTGTGGCACGGACATTTCCCAACTTACTTCAGCTGGGCACACTTGGACTTTATCTGCTAGAAGTGGGTTCTGCCAAAACTTTCCCCAAACCTGAGACTGTGGAAACCCAAGCAAGGACACACAGCTCCTTTCTAAGGCCTGTTAGGAAATCACCCAATTCAGAGAAACAGATAATGAAAGTAGAGAGGCCACTGAAAGAACCTGCAGGCCAGAACCCCATCCCCCGAACTCAAAGCCTGCTCCCTCACTTCCTACTGGGTGACCCTGACAACCGAGTGGGTCCCTCCGGGCCTCAATTTCCTTATCTGTAAAATGGGTGTATATGGCTTAGCTCACAGGGCTCTGTGAGAATTAGATGACAATAACTAATGAAAACTGCTGGGCACGTAATGGTGCCAGTGAGTTCAACACCAAATAACAGCTCCTTGCACTTTCCTACTCAGCTGCCCCATTTTGCTGCCAACCTCCAATTCTGGGCTATGTCTGTTCCAGGTGCCCCAATCTGGGACCATCTTCCTCCCAGACGCTGAAGGTATCAGGCACACCCTGTCACTCCCCCGTCCTCCCAACTGCACATTGGAGGGGCACCTTCAGAGAGTCAGGGTCTAGGGGGCCTCAGACCCACTTCACCAAGACTGCTCTTCCTTCCTCATCTATCTCCTGGCTCCAGGCCAGTCCTGAAAACACCCTGGGTTTTCCCACATCCTGGGGGAAATCCGCCATTCCCCATTCTTCCAGACATCATTTCAGGTTGTGTCCCTGATTGGAAAGAAAGTTGAGCAAGGACAGGGATTTTGCTCATCCCTGAACAGAAGCTAGCACACAGCAGGCATTCAACATTTGTACAACGAATGAATGCATGCCACCTACTCCAGGACACCTTCCAGGTCCGCCTTGGCATCTTTTTCTCCCCAGAACACCCAAGGAACATTGCTGCCGACTTCTACTCAGCACCCCAGACTTCTCCTCGGGACTCTAGTAATATAGGTACCAAATTAGAGGGCGGGTCCCGGGCTATTACAAGACAAGGACATTGTCCTGGTTATATCTCTGTTCATAACCCACCCCACCCCATCTGGCTGCTGGAACCCTTCGGCACCTGAGACGCAATGCAATTGTTATCATAAGTTCCTGGCAGGTGAAAGGAAACTGAAACCAGGTTGAGGCACCGGCGCATCCCTATCTTCACTACGGCCCAGGAAGCCAGCGACACCTCTGCCCGATCGGCTCCTCGGCACCCCCAAGACTTCAGCCCTGGCCCCTCTCGTAGACCTACTCTTCCAGTAGGAGAGGGAGGGGATATCAAGGTTCAGCCAGCCCCAGAACCCGGACAAACAAATGCGCTCGGAGAGCCCCGGGGAAGGATGGAGGAAGTAGGGACTTGGGGGGCGGGGGGCGGGGGCGAGGGGAGCTATGAGAAAGGGGTCAATCAACACGCGATTACCTTCGCCACCCTCTTCCTCGCCGTCATCTCGGGGCCGAGTGTAGGCTCCGGCGACTCCAGCGACAGTATACACCAGCTGGCAGCCCGGGCGCGCCCCGCCCCCAAGCCCCCACCTTCGGAAGCCCCGCCCACGCACTCGCGGGGAGCCCCGTGAACCGGCTCCGCCCGCCTCCGCTGATAACGGGAAGCCGCCGAGGGCAGAAGACTACCGGGCCTGGCCGGGGCCCCAGAGCGGTGGGCTCGTATCCCGGAAGTCGCGCTCTTTGTCCGGCACGCAGCTTGGCCGGACCCGGAGTCCCGCTGGGGGGCGCCGTGCACCAAGCAGCGAGCGCTCGGGTGCGCGGCGCTGGAGTCCGCCCATCTGCGTGCTGGTTTCAGTCTGTCGACCGAGGCCGAGCCTGGGCTCCCCCGTTCCCCCGCTGCCCCAACACACACTCGCCCTAAGTCTTTACAGGATGCTGGCAGCTCCCGACAGCGCGCTCGGCGGACTCCACCCTCAAACTGCCGCCGTGAGCTCTCCCAGCGAATTCCCGGAGCTGCTTGGACAAGTCGTTTCCCCCATCTGGGCCCCGTGCCCCATCTCTAAACAGGGGTCGGGGACAGTGTAGACTATTTGCCTTCCAAGGGCCCCTCCCCCGGCAGTTTGTGCGGTCCAGCCTTCGGTGACAAATTGCGCGGTCGTCTCTCCCAGATGACGGCTTGGTGGTGAGCAGCACCGCGAGGAGACGCTGTTAGACCCATCTTCTCTTGCTTTGGGGCTTGGGTCCTTTACTAGGTTTACTATTTAGTATGTGCCTCCTAGGTGTCAATTGGGGAAACAGTTGGACTTCAGGAACCTCCAGGACGGACTTCAGGAACCTCCCTTATTTCACCATCCGTCCTTTACAACCTGCAGGGGCACAAGGGCAGAGACCCGTTCCCCCAGCCCGGAGCGGAGGCCACCGTGGGAAGAGCAGTCCCTGAGCAGCGATCAGCATTCGCGGAAGAATGTACTAGTAATAATGAGACTCTGGGGAGGACTGAACCCATCTTCCTCACCCCCACCGCTTTCAGTCCTGATGAGAAAAGAAATCGGCATGTTTCGAGCCCCTCTTTTGAGCTCGGTGCTCACCACCTCATGTAGTTTTATCTAAGTGTCGTGGAACCTGGAACCGAATGACTTTTCTGTTCGGATGTGTGATGTATTTGCAGAACGATTAGTTCTGTTTAATTCAAGTCAATAAACTTTAACCAGGTATCCCCTCCCTTAATCTAAGTAGTGATGAGGGAACCGAGGTGTTTGACCCTACCGCTGGTCATTCACCTCAGTTAACATGCATTTTGTACTACTGAGTGTCAGGCACTAACTTCTAGGGAATAGCACAATGAGAAAGTGGGGTCCTCCATCCTGCCCTCATCACTCCACTCATAAGAAAGTAGCCCTTGCATTTTTATTTTATGTATTTCTTTATTTACTGGTTTGAGAAAGAGAGAGGAAGGGAGAGAAGAGATTTGTTGCTCCACTCGTTTATGAATTCATTGGTTGATCCCAGTATGTGCTCTGACCAGGGATGGGACTCGTAATCTTGGCACATCGTCTATGAGGATCACACGCCGATCAACTGAGCTAGCCAGCCAGGGCAACCCCTGCATTTTTTAATGCAAAATGGTAAGCAGGAGGATGTAGGGAACGACCTGGTGCTGTGATAGCCTGGAGGAGGGTCACTTGATGCAGCCTCAGAAAGTAGCAAGTTTTCCTGGAAGAGATAAAAACCCAGGTGCATTGCAAGGTGTGGTGAGTTAGCTAAAGTAAGAACTAAGGATGAGGGTGTTCCCAGACAAGGGAACACTGTGAGAAAAGGTGTGGTGGCAGCACTTACGGAGACCGAAAGCAGCTGCCTAATGTGGAGCAGAGTCTGTCCAAAGTTTTGCGACTCTCCTTCCTTTCTCTTCCAGAAACGCTGCAAAGTGAATTGAATTCAGAGTCATGCCTTTAGCCCAGCTTCCCATCCTGGGATGGATCCTAACTGCCCGCACAACTGGGAGACCCATGTACATGGCTTTCTTGCCCTTACACAATGCACAGACCTGTGTGTGTGTGTCAGAATGAGCCCCTAGGAGACCTGGATTCTAGTTCCACATCTGCCCTCAGTACAGCATGGCCTTGGGTGCGCCCTGGGACCCCCCACCTGCTTCCCAGGACTGCTGTGAGGCTAAGCTCACAGAAGTGGAGAGCTTTGAAAATTGTAATTCCCAGGATAATCAGAGGATAATCAGAATTCAATCCCAGCTCTACTATTATTGTCTGCCTAACCTTAGCCTGTCTGTGCCTCCATTTGCTCATCTTTAAAATGGGGCTAATGCTAGTGAATAGAGTAATGAATTCAGTTTGGACAATAAGTGATAGTTATAATCCTAATAGAATGTTCACCTTTGTATGCCTGCAGCATATCTGGAAGGATACAAGATCCTACGAGTGTCCCTGGGGAAGGTAACTGGGTAACTGAGTCTGGGAAGGGAAGGAAAACTGTTCACTATAAACCCCATTTCCTTTTAAATTTTTGAGCAATGTGAATAAACTACCTCTTCAAAACCGGAAAACATTGAAATTTAACAATATTCTCTTTTTAAAACAGAAAGGTTTTTACATCAAAATTTTTATTCTTGGCTTCTCTTGAAAAGTGAGGCCCTTGGCAATACCAGACCCACAATCCCTGTGGCAATGCTTGTCTGGAGCGCCGTCGGGGCTGCTCCTTTCAAGGAGGAACACAGGCCCCCGGGGGCACTGCAGTCCTCGCCTCTCCAGGTTTCTCCTGGCCTGGCCAGCCTCCCGTGCTGTCTTAGCCACCCAGCCCTGTAAGGAACCCCTGCGCTGGAGTCTTTTTGCACTTGCTAACTTCCTATCGCTTGGTCCCTCTCTTTTCCTTCCTTCCCCCGGGTCAGGGTTCTCCATGTCATGTGATGGCTCTAGCCTTTGAAGACACTGATGGACACCTGCCTGGAAGGTGTAACTAATGCCTGGTTCCTGCTCCGGACCCTTCCAGGAACTTTGCAGGGAACATTGTCATCTTCCACCTTTGGATGAGGCAGGAACTTACTTTTGGGCAGTTCTGTCATTGCCAGGGTGTGACAGAGACCATCTGAAAAAGAGTTGGGGTAGGGGCATACATTTCAGGCACTATAGACAGTCTGATACCTCAGCAGTATGTTTAAAAATGACAGTAAATACATTTATGTTTGGGTGTTAGAGATGAATCTGGAGGATACTTAAGAACCTGATAGAGTAGTTATCAGTTTGGTATAAAAAAAATAGTTGTCTGTCACCCAAAAGGGGCCAGGCCCAGAGCAGGTCTGCCCCCGGCCAACCTGTGGTGTGTAGGCTTTTGACTTTGTGCAGGAAAAATTTCACAACCCAAGTCCAGCTGATTTTGAGAGTATATTTACTAAAGCTGGGGACAGCAGAACAATGGAAGGGCATAGAGTAGAAGCAGCAACAGGGCTTACTCTCCTTTGGCTCCTTAGAAATGTAGGAAAGAAGTGAGCCAGACTGGGCTGCAGGAACTCACTGAAAAGTAAGTCAGGGACAGAAGTGAGCCACAGTGGGGCTGCCGTGAGCTCACTGGAAAGTCAAAGGAAAGGAGGTCCTTGGAGACAGGTTCAGGAGGTAAACCCTGGGACGAGCTGCTGCTGCCTGCTGCTCCCTTGGTTGCACGTCTCATGGGGACCCCTAGAGTTTAGGAGAAAGATAGTAAAAAGCTCATGCCCAAAAAAAGACATAGGCACGTTCCAGAGAGAGCTCTCACTGGCATGCTTTGTCTTGGGAGTTTTTCTCTCTTTTCTTTAGACAGGAATCTTAGGGGAGGTCTTAGGGGTGAGACTTAACAGAATACTCATTAGTTTTCCAGGTGTATCTTTCAATATGTTGACTCATCAAAATGAGTGCGTAAGGGAGTTTGGGATCGTTGTCTGGTCAGCTTCACTGTTTTACTTTTATGTTGAGTCTGTCTGGCTCTAATCAGGTTATTGTTACATTTGGCCTTGGGTTTGATGGGCACAAATGGCATTATATTAGTTTCTGTTCTCTTTCTCCCTGACCTGGGTGATTTATGCTATGTATTCTCTGGTTAGGGAGGAGAGGTATAAACCACTTGCTCTCCAGTGTTCTTGGTTAGGGAAGATAAAGTCACTAGCTGGCTATAAATTGTTCGAATTGTTTGGCCTTGTTGAATTATCTTGTCTCAGTTTCCCCATTCCACTTGCCAAGAAATTTCCTACTATCCTGCCTCAGTCTACACACAGCACATCCTTTTTAGACTGCCTGTCTTCCTTTTTAAAGTAACTCAAAGCATTTATTATAGAATCTATCCTACATAAGGTAATCAAGAAGAGCTGTCAAGTCATGTTAGCAGCTATATCTTCAAGATCTAGCTCCCTGCTTGGCACGTGGAAGGCGTACCCCGCTCACCACAAGCACCCACGCCCTCTGCCACAGCTGCCTGGGGAAACAGCTCCCTAAGTCAGGTGGGGGCAGCGCTCAGGCACGCTCTCCAGCCCGTGGAAGCCCCGGCGAGTGCGGAGCTGGGTCTCCTGTCTGCCTTTTGTTGTTTCTGAGTTATTTTACAACTCTATACGTTGTAGTGACTCATAGCATTCAAAATAATTCTTTTTTTAAAAAAAAGAACTTTAAATTGTATTATTTAATTACAGTTTACAGTCAATATCATTTTGTATTAGTTTCAGGTATACAGCATAGTGGTTAGATAATCATATACCTATTTCACCAGCCCCCCAACCCTCATCTTCTCTGACAGCTGTCAGTCTGTTCTCTGTATCTATGACTCTGTTTCTATTTTGTTTGTTTGGTTTGTTTATTAGATTCCACATATAAGCAAAATCATATGGTATTTATCTGTCTCTGACTGGCTTATTTCACTTAGCATAATACTCTCCAGGCCCATCCATGCTGTCACAAAAGGTGAAATTTCCTTCCTTTTTATGACTGAGTAGTATTCCACAGCTTTTTCATGCATTCATCTACTGGCCAGCACTTGGGCTGTGTCCAAATCTTGGCTATTGTAAATAATGCTGCAAAGAATATAGGAATGCAT